AGCTGATTGTGATGCTCTGTAGTGCATGACTGCTCTGGGCATTCTGGTGAGTGGGGTAGGCCCCTGGTGTGAGCTGCACGGACATCCTGGCTGTGTATGACTTCTGTGAGTGAACTGGACATTCTGGTGGGTGGGGCCGGCCCCTGATGCTTAATAGGTTAGATGGAGGATTCCAAAATGGTGCCCACTAGTGCTGCTGTCAGAAAGGTAGAACAAGATCCCCCAAATGGCTGCTGCCAGCATCTCAATCCTTGGGGGGAGTCCAGTTGCTTCCTGCCTCTCTGGGAGGCTCTCTAGGTTCAGCAAATGGGCCTGACCCAGGTGCCTTTCAAACTGCAGCCTCTGAGCTGGGTCTCAGATCATGTAAGATTTTGTGTGTACACTTTTAAGAGCAGTGTATTGATTTCCTACAGTCCTTAAGCTTTTCTAAATCAATGGCCTACTGGTTTTTAAAGCCAGACATTTTGTGGCCTCATTTTCCCTGTGCAGGATCCCCAGGCCAGGGAGCCCTGTGTGGGAATCAGACTCTTGGCTTTTTTGGGAGAACTCCACAATTGTGATTTTTCTCCCACTGTGGGTCATCCTGCTAGGGGTGTGGATCCTGGCTAGACCACGTTTCTGCCTCTCCTGCCCATTTTGTTGTTGCTCTTTCTTCATATCTTTAGTTGTGGAAAATCTTTGCCGCTAGTCTTTAGGTCACTGTGAGAGATAGATAGTTATTCTGTAAGCAGTTGTAATTTTGGTGTGTCTGTGGAAAGAGGTGAGCTCAGAATCTTCTACTCCACCATCCTGTTCCAGATCCCAGGAGAAGAATTTTTGTTGGAAAAGTGATGATTTTTGTTTTGTATAGGTAGAGTTTCAATGACTTTGAGACATCCGGAAATGTCCAGTAAGCAGTTGATAAAGTACTTTCTAATCAAGCTGACTTTTCTTTTTCTTTCAAGTATAGTAATTGAAAGAAATTCTGATTATTGGAATCCTTTTTTTTTTGGCAAAACTGAAGTTAAAGTAATACTTTCCACAAGCATTTGATATATATCTTATGATGGTGACAGTGCTTAATACCTTCAACAATTTGCTGCTGTCTCTTGTTCTGTTCTCTTTCCCACCACAATAATTAAGGAGTCTTTACTTTGCTCACACTTATAATATATTTATAAAGCATGGCCCTGGTGCTCTTTCATGCCCTTGCTAGTTGCAATTTATTTTGCGACTTGGCCTTTTTGACTTGGCCTCTGCATGTGTCAAATTGTCTTATACATGTCCTTGATCTTTTGCCCTGCTAACATTTTGCATATGATTACATTTCAGAGTTTGGAGTCTTCAATCATGCAGTAAACAGTGATGCTGCATTAATTTTAAATTCAAGAGATTGAAAAAGAGGTCAGCTTGGAGGTAGAGATTGACTGAATTTCTGTAGGAGGCAGAGCACCTTAAAAGCCTGCATTTCAGCCAGATGATTTGTGAGTGACCCTTGTGGCTGATATTCAGAAAGAAATGATTGCTTTGGAGGTGACAGCCAAGTTAGTGCATCACTGCTGGTCAGTTTCTCATCATCTTTGGAGAATAAAGCTAGAGAATATTAAGGACTCTTCGGACCAGAAAAACCTGGGAGTTTAGGTCCCCATTGGATCTCCAGGTTCTACTGGGAGAAAGTCTGCAATGAGGAGCTGTCAGCACTTCTTTACCTCCCTACACATAGCAGAAACATTTGGAAACAACTCTGTCTTCTTCCTGAACCTGTCATACAATCAGTTTCACTGGCCACATTGCTCAATGCTTTCTTTTCTTTAATGGCTCTCACATACACAGTGCAGATCCAACAGTGTCATCTGTCACTGAGTATGGTGATTGTCAAGGAAGGGGGCAAATGTCTCTTTGGTGGGTGTTTTGATGTGCTTATTCAAATATGCCCTCTGTCCACTGATGCTTGTAGAGTGACCTCTTGCTGTCTCAAAGGCTGGTCCCTTTATTTTCACATGGGAGGCAGAAGTGTGTTCTTCCTCCCACCGTGTCCCCATTTCAAATCTTGTCAAAGCAGACGTTGAGATGAGTATTTTCCCTTTTCTCCCTTCTCAGACCAATTCTGCAAATTAGTAATATTATTGCCATGGATTGTATACATGAAAAAAACAAAGAGATAAAATGGTGATTAGTACTAATGATCATAGGATAAAATAATATATGTCTGCTGTATGACCTGAGCTGTGCACAAAAGCACAGTAATACTATTCAGATTATCTCAGTGGGCAGAGGGCATATCAGAATAAATCTGGGGACTCTTCTTCAAATATACCCACCTAGGACATATTTCCTCCATGACAAGCAATGACAGATGATACAGCTAGAAATGCACTGTGTATGTGACCGGCATAGAGGAGAAAAGAAGTTGAGCCCCAAATCCTGTGTGATTGATTAGAATAAGATAAGAAAATCATTGTTCAAGTTGAAGCCTTTATTAATAACAGATCAGAAGCTGCATATTAAAATCAGTCAAACATACTCCTAGAATTCAACATTTCTGAATATATGCATTTAGAGTTAGATTAGACTTCTTTACTCCCTAGGTTTAGTAAGATTAGAAAATGATGTTGCAGTTTTGCATGTTTAGATGAGAAGGGATACTTACCAGGTAGCTCAAAATCCTCATTTCACGGGGGAGAGTTCTGAGGCCTAGAGAAACAGTGATTGTCCCGGGTCAGTGTGATATAATGGCAGAAATTTAGCTTTTGTAGACACAAGGGTCTGAGTTTGATTTCTTGACTTGCCATTTGACCTTGAGCAAGTTTCTTAACTGCATAGTCTTAGTTCCCTGATTTGCAAAATCAAGATGTTAATCCCTGTCATTCAAGTCTATTGGGGAAAATAAATATGCTAAAATCTCCAAAATAACGTCAGGCATGTAGTAGGCACTGAACAAATGGGAGCTGCTAGTATTATATATGCTGAGAGAAGGCAGATTTGGGAACAGAATCTGTATCCTCATTCTAGCATACAGCTTTTGTTTCTCTACCTTGTATAATTCATAAGTCAAGTTTCTATCAACGAAAATTAGCATTTTTGGAGATTTTGCAAATACTTTCACATCTGCTACTCATGATTAAATGGAGGGGTCAGTATTATAATCCAACTGTAATGGTAGGGGACATTTACTTTGAGAGGTTAAATGACTTGCTCAATAAGGAGTAGAGTTGGGACTGAGTCCAACCTCAGGGCTACCCTTGCCCTGAACCACTCCAGATTTATTCCTTTACAGTCAATGTTTTATGGGTCAGCATTTCCTCTGTTCCCTAATTAAAGTACAGTATTGGTGCTCCACACACAGACTCTATTTCTTATCCCACATATATAAATTTTTTGAATGGTAATGTAACTGGTATATTGAATTAGTCGAACACTATAGGGTGCAAGTAGAAAACCAGTTTATTTCATTATCTCCAACATTGTGGATATTTCACCTCTGTAACTAGGTTAAAATCTCAGCCAGCTGCTGATGTCTCCAGGCAATTTTAGATTATAAAATGTCATTGGCCCTTCCAGCCATGATGGTAACTGGTACTTGACTAGCTCTTCCATTGTACACAACTGTAAATGTATAAATATATATGCAGCGACTGTTTTCAAGTGATGGACAACAGGGAACAATGGCTGTAATCCACAAGAGAAGGAAAACACATAATCCTCATGATTACCCTCAATTTCTGACTGAAGGCACCTTCAGACCCTGG